TGACTGCTATTCAATCTATAACAGTGAAAAAAGTTTTTTGTTTTTAAATCCAAGCTATTGTGACACCAGATGTAATTGTGGCACTGACTGGGGAAATGGGCACAGTATGCACTGTGAGCCTGACACAGAAGCTGGCAGCAGTGGCAGACAACTGACTGCTATTCAATCTATAACAGTGAAAAAAGTTTTTTGTTTTTAAATCCAAGCTATTGTGACACCAGATGTAATTGGTGGCACTGACTGGGGAAATGGGCACAGTATGCACTGTGAGCCTGACACAGAAGCTGGCAGCAGTGGCAGACAACTGACTGCTATTCAATCTATAACAGTGAAAAAAGTTTTTTGTTTTTAAATCCAAGCTATTGTGACACCAGATGTAATTGGTGGCACTGACTGGGGAAATGGGCACTGTGAGCCTGACACAGAAGCTGGCAGCAGTGGCAGACAACTAAGTGCATTTACATTAGATAGAAAAAAAAAATCCAAAAAAAGCATACCCTTATCCCTAACCTAGCTATGCTTTTCCCTATCTTATGAACAGCAGCTACACTTTCCCTCCTCTTACTAAGCATGCAGCTTGAGAATGAATCTAAAATGGATGCTGTCCAGTAGGTGGGAGGGTCTGCTAGGGAGGCTGTGCTGCTAATTGGCTGGAATGTGTCTGCTGACTGTGAGGTACAGGGTCAAAGTTTACTCAATGATGACGAATAGGGGGCGGGTCGAACCGCGCATATGTTCGCCCGCCGTGGCGAACGCGAACATGCTATGTTCGCCAGGAACCGTTCGCCAGCGAACCGTTCGGTACATCACTACTCATATACAACACATACAAAACAGAACCTGAATGGCACTTTACAGTCGATTGGAATAGAGGAAGAATGGAACAACATATATGCAAACCATATCTGTGCTTTCTACCTGGAGGCCGCTAGAAAACTGCTCTACAGGTGGTATATGGTACTCACCCAACTTAAGACGATATACCCAAACACGAGCGATAGATGTTGGAGGTGTCTGACACAGGAAAGAACACAGCTCCACTTCTGGTGGACTTGTGACTTGGTACAGCCCTACTGGAGACAAATTGTAGAGCTCATCAAGGGAGCCACAAGGTGCATATTAGAACACAATATCGAAACCATAATACTCAAACTAACACCAAAGGGATTGCCACATTGCATAGCTAACCTAATATTCCTTACACTCTCCTCAGCCACCACACTGCTGGCAAACATTTTTTGGAAAACTCCACAACGTCAGAGGTAACCTCGCTGGTCTCCACCACATTGGAATACGAAGTGATAATGTGGAACCAAATAAAAACTGGTAAAGGGAGCACCACAGTGAAAGCGATGTGGACAACGTACATTGAGATCCGGGGAAATACATGACTCCGCTAGGACCATAGCTAGAGGTAGAGTAGGCAGGATAGAGTGGCTGTTAAGGCAACATAGAGGAAGCACACAAAAAAAAACACTATCTCCCGAGACTAAACATAGTACAAAGTTGAGGAATAGAGAAACACAGCTAGACAACACACGGTTAAGTGAGGACATACCGGTTATACCCCCTCACCCTTGTCCTATGGGTAGATGCTAAGAAAAGGGATATACTCTTCCCACTTGCACTGAGAAAAGTTCCATGGCCAAGCCGAAACCCCTCAGACAACCCACCCAACCACCCTTACTCCCCGAAGCCCAAGAACCCGTCAACTCATGATCACTGCAAAATAATAGGATGCTGCAGACAGTTAAGTAACCTAGAAAGGTACGACACTCCCTGTGCCGGGCCTGCAGGCATGAGCATGATTACCCACTCTTCCTTATTCCTTAACCCCCTCCCTTTTATTTTATGTACCCTCTCCACATCCCAACGAGCCAACACCACACGGAAGACAACTTTTATGATTATGTAGAATTGTTGAAGAAATTTTAATATGGCATTAATGACTGCCTTCCCCCATCCCCTTTTTCCTTTTTGTACCCCCAAATGAATAAAAATGGTCAAATTGAAAAAAGAAAATAAACAAATACAGGAAATGTAATCTTTTACTTGTATGCATATTTAGTCTTCATTCCTTATGAAAACATAAAGCATATACTTTTCTTGACAAACAAATGCAAATGTGTCATTGATTGGTCTGATTGATCTGTTACATAAAACTGATAGTGAAAACGATGGATTCATGGACAGATAGTCTAGATTAATAATAATAATAATAACAATAATAATAATAAAACATTGCTAGTTTCTTTGGCAGTAACAAGACTAAAAATATACAATAATTCAAAAGACTTGCTGTAAACAACAAAAACATTGCAGGACTTTGAGGAAAACTGTCATCATGTTTAATAACTCATTTTAGTACATTTACTTATGAGGTTGGTCACTGGTAATTTACTTACGAGGTAAGTCATTGGTTCTTTGGTCAGAACTATCACTTATCTGCTACAACCATTGACAATATGAAGGTCGGAAACTGTTCTGCAGAGCATTATTGAGATGTCTAGCATTTGCATATGTTGTCACTATTTATGAACACACACATGCTCTTAATTACCAGCACTTGTTGGTCAAATACAATTAATGATGTAGCCCAGGAGATGCACTGAAAAATATGTTACTTAGATTTATGAATCACAAATTCATATACACAGATGTTGTAATATGTATAATGATTAATTGTAAATAATAATATAAAAGTATATCAGTGTTCTGTTACAAGTACCCTATCTAATTTTGTAAACAATTTCCCTAGTGTGCCTTCAGATAAAACCCTCTTAGGGTTTCTTGATCCCTTTGTCTTGCTGCGCAATCCTTAGCTGCCAAACACATCCTTCTTTTGGCTTTTTTTCTTGAAAATATTACTTAGTATCTCTCAGTATAAATTTTTCATTATTTGCTTTTGGTTTACCTGCACCTTTTTCACTTTCATTCTCCCTCTTGTTTTTTTTTTTTAGCCACTTTTTTTCAAATTTACACACTCTTGTTATATGGAGCACATTTTCTCTTGTGTTCCCCATAATGTACAATTTGTCCTTCTTGTATACCCTTTACACTTGTGTGCCATTTAGTTTCCTACTTATGTCCCCTTAGAAGTCTATATTTCATATTGTGAACTGTAATCTCACTGGTTTCTAACAGAAGGAATTACAAAGTGAAATTTATTGTATGTTGCCTATAGTACTGAAGCTTTTGTGAGTCACTGGATGTGCTGATATACCATAATAACAGTGGTGCAATAAAGTTAATGTTTGTTATTCAAATTTTACCATGTTACATATGCGGTGATAGTCTCTAGTGGCATTTTGATTTACTTTGCTAGCAGGTATCCCTTTACATATCGACACTCTCTCTGTGTTAGTAAGGGCAAAGAAAGATGTCATAACATTATATTAATCAAACCAGGAAGTATAAAGAATTTTAGAACACAAATTCCAAATTCTTTAAAAAAAAAATTTCCAGCTTGGCTATTTTGCAGTAAAATTATTTTTTCAATTCTCCTGAACTGCTGGTTAAATGAATACATTAGAGCAGCGTTTCCCAATTGGTGTTAGGTTCCGTGGAACAATAATTGGGGTTCACCCGAAAAATGTGAAAAAAAAAAAATGACAGCGGGTGGCGAGGGAGCAGTGAGCTCTGATCTCCCTGCTCAGCTCCCTCGCGCGCACAGCAGTGATGCCGGAGCCGGAATATGACGTCACTCCGGCTCCGGCATCACTAGGAGGTGTGCAAGGGAGCTGAGCAGAGAGATCAGAGCTCCCTCGCCGCTCACCTCCACCGCTCACCTGTCTGTCCCTCGCCGCCCGCCAAGCTGCAGCCATACCCACTGGACCACAGGGACTTCATGCCAGCAGCCCCACTGGACCCCAGGGACTCCTAAAAGGTAGGGGGGCTGGGTGGAGTAAAATGTAAAAAAAAAATATATATATAGTTTGTATGTGTGTGTTTGTCAGTGAGAGTGAACGTGTGCTTGTCAGTGAGAATGTATCTGTTCTTGTCAATGAGAGTGTATATATGTTTGTCTGTAAAAGAGACTGGTAATGTCTCCCACGTTTTGTAATTAGCATAGGACCCACTGACATTGGGGTACTTTGAAGCAGTGGTGGGCTTAACATCATATGGCCATATGGTGGAACTAAATCCCCATATTTATTCTCTTTGTTTAGTTGTTACACTGTTTTTAATTGCTTTTATCACTCTGAATTTTTGGATACTCACTTTGCTCTTACAAAGAAATTAATTTAATACACTGCAGCTTGTTTTTAGCACCAATACTATTTAATTTGTCTCCCACATTTTTGGCCATATGGTGGAACTAAATCCCCATATTTATTCTCTTAGATAGGCGTTTTATAGTAGCCTTCTTAGTTATGTATTTTTAGAAGTCTGAGTGCGCCGTAACTATTTTTTTTTTCTGTATGAATTTTGGTCACTGCGGCAGCAACTTTCTTGCATAATGCATCAACGGGTGTGCCCCCAATCTCTTCTCTGTGCAGATTCATACACACTGGCACATACAAACACACACACACACACCTTGACACTGTGTGTGTGTGTGTGTGTATCTGTGTGTCAGATATACAACTGGCACATACAAGCACAGATATACACACGTCGGCACATTTAAAAAAAAACAAAAAACGGCGCAATTGAATTTTTTTTTTCTTTGGAGGGCGTCCACGATGTTGATACACTATGTCAAAGGGTTCCACAGCAAAAATTAATTGGGAAACCCTGCATTAGTGCAACAAAAACACAATATTACATCAGTTTACATTACCCCTCTAAAACTTTCCATTTAAAAAAAGATAAACAAATAGATGCTATTATATACCTTTTTGCCAAAACTAGCTTATTTACAATATCATTTCTTCCTGAACACCTACTGAAATACGCCATTGTATTCTCTATTGCCCTGTGTAATTTACCATGTAACTACCTACTTATGTGTCACCCTACCAGTTTCCTATTCTACCAAATTTCCCTCTAACAAACCACCCTCCCAAATTGCTGTTTTTAAAGGGATGCAAAGTTGTTTTCCTAGCACAATAGCTCCCTTGTGCCCCCTCCCCTTCATTTCCCTCTCCCGCAGTGGAAGCATTTATAAACCCGTACTGTGCTCACCCGATTCTAACTAGATGTCCTTCAGTGCTGGGTCAGCTCTCAACCCACTCCAATGTCATCCGATTGGGGGGAGGAGGGTGCTAATGAACGTTGCAAGCGCATTAGGCCCTCTTCATAGGAAAGCATTGCTGCAATGCTTTCCTACGGGGCATTTATTGATGCTGGATGTCCTTCATGCAGCCTGATGTACAGCCACTAGAGGCTGTCTTAGCCCTGCAAGGTAATTATTGCAGTAATTACAATAATTACCATTGCAAGGTTAAGCGCACAGGGTCACTGCACACTGATCTTTTCAATGAGCTGAAATGGTCTGGGTGCTTAAAGTGTCTCTTTAAGTGCAGTGATTAATGAGAAGCAAGGTTTGATGAGAACACGGACAGTGTTTACTACTAAAGCCAGTCGATTGATGGCATAGTATATTGCACATAATAGTGTGGTATATATAGGCCTATTGTCACATGTGTGTAAATACTTAGTACAGCATTAATACCCAGGATCCATAGCAATTAGTAACAAAGTTTACCTGGATAGTTCCCTGATTTTTATTACATAACATTTAAGCATGTCATATGAGTGTGTGGAAATATTAAAAAAAAGACTGCAATAATTATTCCTCTTTGTATGGCACATTCCAGCATTTCATGAACCACTGATGTTAATATTTGGAATGGGGACACAACAAAGTAGCAGAAAGTCTGAGCTATGGAACTTTATACATTTTTTCCAAATCATTCATTTTAGCCACATCAAAATTATTCAACTTCTCATGCCAAATGTGACTCATAAAGTGTGCAGGTCATGATATGATGCATCCTGCCTGGAATTTAGTTATATTGTATAGACTAGACGACTGTCAGGAACCTTGGTTTTCTCAACGTTATTACAAGTAATAATATCCTACTGGGATTTTAAAAAAAGGAAGCATTCATTAAACTCCAAAACTGACAATTAGAATACTCATATTCCAATAACTTCCAGTAATACTGGAAGGGAAAAAATGTACCACGGTATGATAAGTTAAAATCATTTTTCTAGTGGGAAAATAAACCTCTCCAAAAACACATGTTGCTACAAAAGCATATGTACCAAAGCAGAGACTGAGCTGCAATCCCCAGAAGGGAGCATAGGGAAGATTTATAAAATATTTCTTTCCCATTCTCCACCTGTGGCATATTGGGGGGAGTAGTTTTGCTGCAGTCATTGAGATCTTGCTTGTTTTATTAATCTGATATCTACCGTGCAGGTTACAAAACATTAGGAAACATATATCCTAACTTTCTCCTAGTTGATCCCAGGAGTTAACGTGTGTTTATGCATGTGTGTGCGCATCTATCTGTTTAATTATAATAACAGCAGCTAAAATCCAAGTAAGTTCAACTAAGGAAGAAAGCAGCATAGTCTACTTTATGGGGTTGTATAAGAGACTCTTTAGTGAGGATTTAGAGTAGATTGCCAAAGTAGTGTCCTCATTGTCTTTGGGTGGTGACAAATCCAATGATGAGAATTCAGTTTCCCACACCACTGTAGACATAGCACTTTTATATCTGGCCTATGATCTACCCAAGAATAGGATTGTGTGAAGAGGCCTATGATCTACCATATACTATGAGTATGATAACCCAAAGGAATTAGAAGAAGAGAGTGTCTAGAGGTAGTGATTCCATATTTT